TTGTGCTTTTTCAGCCATCCTCCTTGACTTCTCTCCACGAGCTGTTGATAAGCATCAGCTGGCAGAGTGCCATCTGTCTCCCTGAGAGACCTGCTGTTGCCAGTGAGCACGTACCCCCGGCCTGAAGGGACCACCCAGCTTAGACTGCAGGGTGAGGGATGTGGGGGTGTTGGTTGGCCTCCCCTTTGTCACAGTAGCAGCTAAACAAAGGAGCTTGCCTGAGTGACAGCTCTTTTCCAAGGAGAGGCACACAGCTTGGTTTCCCAGACAAGGTCCCGCACATGGAGATGGCTTGGATCCCGTCCCTGCTCCCCAAAGAGGGGGCACTGGTACTCACTCAGGCATAATGGGAGGTGGGGGGTAATTTATGAAATAGGCTTCATAAAGGCCCCACATCTGCCATGGAAGGTGGGAGGGGGGCAGGATGATGACAACTGCTAGAAGGAAGTGATGGTGTGAGGACCTGGCCACACAGGAAGCGTCCTGACAAGCCAGCATCACCCCAGGCCCACACATCACTGCTGACAAACATACCTGCTCTCCAGAGAGAACCGCTCTAGGACAGGATTTGTCACTTCCTTACCTGCTGAGAGGCGGCACGATGACAGGCCTGCGCAGGGTACAGGCTGGCGACAGCAGCAGCTGACAGACGTCAGATGAGTCGCTGGTTCGGAGCTCCTGCTTTGAGGCTCACCTGGAATCATAACCAGAGATGAGTGGGCAGACGCAGCAGCAGCCAGGTGTCCCCCAGATGGCCCCGCTCCCACTGTGCCCGCTCCATGCTCAGCAACTGTCTCCGGAAACCTGTGGAGTCTTGTATCAAAGCACGGGGAGGTGCGCTAAAGGCAGAAAGGGGAGAGCCTGACCTGACACAGAGCAGAATGGGGACATCTCGAGGCCAAAGGACAGCCGGGGCCTCCCCAGACAGGCCTCCCTGACCTGCACTCCTCCTCCTATTCACGCTCCCAATTTTTTTTTTAAATAGATGATTTTGTTCTGAAGTATCAGGATTTTACTTTATATCATGTGTGTGTGTGTGTGTGTGTGTGTGTGTGTCTATGTGTGTGAGATATGGAGAGATGTGTGTGGTGTATGTGTAGGTGTAGGTGTGTGTAAATTTACTTCCCATTTCATTTGTTTCCTATGAGGTTTTCAGGAGTAAGACAGGTCCAATATGGTTTGTTGTCTTTGGCTCCATCACTGTTACCTCTCACCTTTAGCAACCTGTTATTTATCTTGGTCAAGAGTGCAATCTACAAACAGGCTCCTGAATACCACGAGAAGAGGACTGCTGGTGGTTTGCAGCTCTTGGGAAATCCATAAGATGCTGCAGACTTTCTTGAACCTGGGAACAGCTGACCTCAAGGCAGTTCCCAGGAGGGACCAGAGCTGAGGGTGATACAGGCGGCCCGAGTTTACTGTTCGGTGCCTAGAACTTTCCATCGCCATGCTTTTGCTTCCACTATTTCATTTNTAAGCCACCACGCGCTCACGCGTAAGTCCCTCTTTCCCTTTTTGGCATCACTCGGTTTCTTGCTCCCTCCTCTCGCTGAGAGCACAAGGACTGGTGTCTGATTGGTAGTTGGTTCGGTGCGTGCAGGATGCAGAGGCTCTAGTAACATGGGTCCACTAGTACAATATGCTTCCACGCTAGCCCTTGGCTGACTCCTCCTCGGTCATATCACCCTCCGCGCACGTTTTCTGCTTCCTGGCATAGTGTGCACCCAGGGGAAGAAGGTGACCATCCTACGGCCACAGGAGCTGGGGCTCTCTGGCTGTCAGTCAAGCATGAGGCGGGGTCTCAGTGACAGGAGCCTGGAGGGACTGCTCGCTCTGCCAACGGAAGGCCTACTTGGATTCTGTCGTTTCTGAATCCCAGGTGCCTGGGCGAGCCCCTAGGTTTTGTGTCCCCACAGATCATAGGCACAGTGGACTCGGGTTTCCTGGTGTCAGCTTCCTGACAGGGCTCCAACCCTATTACAGACAATGAACCTAAACAGCTTATCAGAGCCTCCTGCTCGCCTAAGTGGCATCTGGAGAAAAAGGGGCTTCAACTCACTTCAGGTCTCCCAGCACAAAGGGATCTATGCCCATCAGAGAGATGACATGGTGGGAGGTGGCTGACACCTTCCTTCACTTTTCCAAAAGAAACATTTGATAAGCACAGAGCATGGCTCAATGCTTCCCTCCCAACAGTGCCCGTCACGATATCCGATGTTGTCTAACCTTCCAGTCACTGGATCAGGCAGGAAAACTATGTTTGACCTCAATGTTAAACTCTCTTTTTTTGCTCACTGGCATGACAACAGAGCAAAATAGAGCTGTGATGACCACGAGTCTATTTCTGGAGGCTCCTTACAGAATTCATGCACACTGTGGATTCTGCATTATTTGGGTCCTTGGGCACACTCAGGACGCTGAAGCAAACACTCGTTTGCAAATGTTACAGATGCCAAAGTTGGCTGGATGCTCTATTGGGTGAGGCAGTAACTCCCTCAAGGCTGCCTTGAAAATGGGAGGACTGCTCTGAGCGGGGCTTTGGGGCAGAGGGTCAGGCCACCTGGTGGTGCTTACCTTCACCCGGTCCATGCAGGCTTCCATCTTCAGTTGCTCCACAGCCTTCCTGGCCTGGGAGATGCTGGTGGTGCTGCTACTGGACATGCCTTCCTTCATCCTGCGGCCCCTGAAATGACCAAGGCCAAAGAGTTGCAGGTGCTGCTCTTCTGAAGGTGAGGCACAGCCCTCCTGGGCTCTCCCCATCCCACCACCTTCTCTGTCCAGCCAGAGGGAACGGGCTGTGAGCACACCCTCCC